ATTATTTAAAATCAAATCTATAGAATGAAAAATCTGAGAACTCATCTAAATTGGAAACCCCCTTAAGATTTTACAAAATTTATTTTTTGAATCTTCTACAAACTAAATAGATGATTTACTCTTAAAGACTTTAACTTTGCTTTTCAATTCTTTCATAATACCCAATAATCATCATCACTATCTTAACTCATTATTATATTAACTTAATTTTCTATTAAGCTTTTGGAATTGGTCTTATATATTAGAATACCTTTTTCCATTTTTATATTTTCCCTCAAAAAATGTTCGCCATCCACTTTTAAAATAAGGATTTTAAATTGGATCAAAAGTAAAATATGCATGTAGCTCAACCAATTATCCTTATTTAAGTCCATTTAAATCAAAGCAACCACCACCACTTTCTTTTAAAAAAAGCTTAAAGAAGATTTATCGACCCCTAATCTGTAAATGAAAAGATGTCACATCTTCGTATTCTTTAGCCATTTTTATGTTGGCCCTTAAAGAATATTTTGTTCTTTGATCTATTAAAATCATTTTATTTAACATTTTAAATTAGACATTAAATTCTATCAATTGAACTTATTTTAAACCATGATAATCATAACATCCTCATCCCCTACATTATTTATAATATTAATTATTGAATTTCATAGGTAGTCTTTTCAGTTGATCGAAAAGCAACATCCAAATTCACATATTTTTTGCCAATTATATTTCCCTTAGTAAGTGAATTCATTTGATCTATTACAATAGATTTTGTCATACGCTTAAAAATTTTCACACAAACTCTATCCATTTCCCATTAAAATTATATGCACTAAATTATCAAATTAACATAACCCATTCTTTAAAAAGTGTTCCAATCTTTTTTCCCCAAGTAATATACTCCTCTTTTAATTACCTAGTAATGACAAATAAACATATTAACAAAATAACTTTGAAAAAATATTGTGTAATTCTATCCATTCGCCACATTTATTTCCATTTTCATCAAAATATCTACCACCTCTTAAAATAATAACCAAGGATCTTACAAAAGTTAAAATCATCACCATATTCAAAACGAAACAAAAATCTCATTTTCCATTTTTTATGCCGTTTTTATATTTTCCAATATACAAAACTTAATTTTTGCTTTATGTCTATAATAAGTTTTTACATCTATTCATTTTCAGTTAATTCAACCCATTAACCCTCTTTTTCAGCATTTTGATGATATAATCCATGAGCACTAGTTCAATTAAATAAGTACATTAATTCGTTATTATATATTCTTAATATTATTGTTATTAATATTAAAAATTTTAACAAATATTTCAATCTAAAATACATCATCAAAATGAAATAAACTATTTCAAGTAAAAATTAATCAATTTACTCTGGGATATTTTAATTTAGTCAAACTAATAAGCTCAACGAAACTAGAATCAAATATTAAACTTGTTTCAATAAAGTCATTGTATTAGTATAATAATTAAATGATTATAAAACTAAAATTCAATAATCTCTCTGCAAAACAAGAGTGTAGTAATACTTTAGGTATGATTATCTAGAGAGAAATTAGTGATAAGAAATGTAAAGATAAATAAAGAGAAGAGAATTCAAGCTAGGAATAATCTAATAAAAATATATCTCTAATGGATGATTTACTTACATCCTCGGCTTGACGATCATTTTGTTAATAGCAAGTATTTTAATAAAATAACAATAGTGGAATTGTATTAATAATAATATAATAATTATCGTAGAATCTAATAAATAGTAATGAGAACTAAGACTACTTAAGATTCTATCTGATTTTTTAATGTTTAAAACAGATGAATGTGAAGAATTCTTTCAGAAAGAATTATTTTGTGAAAATTTATTCTAATGAAACTGCAATTCCTAAGCAGGACCCTTGATGTTCCTAGTTTTTTCCAACAAACTGATTCGTTCGAATATATATCCAGATAACTTATAATTAACTCATCCAAATTTGCTCGTAATGCTTTGTTTATGAATAGACAGCTACACAATTGCTTTGTATATCATGTGGTGGCAAGAACAATTTCATCCCATCACATAAGCTTTCTCTATGTCACAGATTTTCTTTCAATGGTAATTTTTTTTTAATTTGAAATAGTTTCTTATATCAACTGTAATTAGTAAGCCAAACACAGTAAATAAATATTAAATATATATGGGGATGGTTAACAACTATGTTATT